GCCGCTGGCTTTACCAGAATCACTCTCTTGGACAAATGCTGCCCATTGTCACGGGCTTTACCAGAAACACTGTCTTGGACAAATGCTGCTAAATGCCACTTGCTTTACCAGAATCACTGTCTTAGACAAATGTTGCTCAATGCCGCTGGCTTTACCAGAATTACTGTCTTGGACGAATATTACTCAATGCCACGGGCTTTACCAGAATCACTTTCTTGGACAAATGCTGCTCAATGCCGCTCTGGCTTTACCAGAATCACTGTCTTGGACAAATGTCGCTTTATGTGGCTGACCTTACCAGAAGCTCTTTCTAAAATGACAAGTAGAGATGACTTTATCAGAAGCACTTTCTTGTATAAATATAGCTCCAACCCATCAACTCATTTCTTCTGATTTTAGTATGAACCAGTAATATGCTGATAATCCAAGTTTAACATGCACTTGATTAATTTAAATCTTTCTTTTTTTGTATTTTTGTTTTGGTTTGATTTTTTTTATTTGAGTATTGCATGATTTTGACTAGGTTTACTTTTAAAAAAGAAAAAAATTAATATAATTTTTAATTTTAAATTTTAATTTAATTTTGTTATTTTTTATTTATAAATAATTAGATTAGAAGTTTTTTTTTTTTTTTTTTTTTTTTTTACAAAAAACATTGAGAGAGAGAGAGAGGATTGTGAAAATAAGTCTTTCAAAGGTCTCCAGCTTTCATTAAAAGATTCTCTTTCAGTATTTTTTAAAGATATATATTTTTGTGATTCATACAATGTCTTAATAGGGGATATCAACCCACCTAAAGAAATCTTTCTGTTTGTACATTTGCATAGATAAATGTAATATTTTATTTGTAGAGCAATGATATTTTTAAGCTTGTAAGTTTTCCTCACAGAGCCCAGTAAAAATTCCTTTTTTGAAAAAGTTAAAGTAGAGTGGATTCTATCAAAACAGTGGTTTGCAAAATTCTCTAAGAGTCTGGACATGTTCACATTCCCACAACAAGTGTTCAATTGTTTCAGTTTCTGTTTTACAAGAGTACATATATTACTATCAATTTTATGCAGGAATGAATTCGTTGCTAGTATTTTATGACTTATTCTAAATTGGAACCACTGAAGTCTTGTGTTTTTTTGTAATTTTGAATGGAAGTAAAAATATCCTCTCCCATTCACCATTGCTCAAGTCAAAGACTCAATTCCAAGAGGTTTTACCCAAAGGTTCTATTATTTGTCTAATATTTCATAATAATCATGTGATTTTTTGGCACTCAACAGAGAATAAACATTCTCTGGAATATATTGATAAGTTACTTTGATAAATTATTAGGATCTCTGTTTATCTTTCTCAGCGGTTCTGATATTGCTGCTTTAATGCCATTATATTCAAGAAAATGACTGTGTTTTATCCCATATTTTGCATGCAGGTCATTCAAACTCATAAATGACCCATCTTCATAAAGTATGTCATTAATACATGAAATATTACATGAAAACCATCTTCTATAGAAAAAATGGCTTTTTATTAATAATTAAATTATTGTTTAGAAATAATGGTTCTAAAGAAAGAAGTGTGTCATTTTGTAAGGATTTGTCACAGAAGCTTAACCATGCATGCAACACATCCCTCCAAAATATATTTTTTAAATCATTCAATTTTTTGACAACATGCTCTTGCCCACAGTATACAACTTCTTTAATGTCAACATCTAAACAAGAATCCAACCAATTGTCCTGTAATAACAATTTTTTCATCCATACTAGTATTAAGGACATAATGAACTCTCTTACACTAATCATCTTGAGCCCCCTTCCTTCTAATTCATTACACAAATTTTCCTTTTCAGTCTTGAATTATTACTACCCATTACAAATGTATAGAAAATCTTTTCTAATTCTTTTATTTGTATTTCAGAGGGACTTGGGAAAGATGCAAAAATATGATTTAAGGTCGTCAGTAAAAGAGTTTTTGAAAATGATTTTAATAATATTAGAGAAGTATCATCTGCCAACATAGTTAACTTTTTTTTTCAGTATTCATAAACTGAATCCCTTTTATATCTTTATTGTTTCTTATGCTGATTGCAAGGATTTCTGCACAAATGAGGAATTGATATGGAGACGAAGGGTCTTCTTGACGGCAGTCTCTAAGTTAAAAGACTGTGATAGATTTCCTCCTTCATTAACAGCAGCTGTAATATTTGTGTATAAAATATCCATTTTCTAATGGAATTACTAAAATAAAAAAAAGGAAGGATTTCTGTATAAGAGACCAAGACAAGAAATCAAAAGCTTTTTCAAAATCTACCAGGAGTAAAAGTCCTGGTATATGTTCTTCCTCTGTAAATTGCATGATATCATATATCAATTTTATATTTTCAGAAATATTTCTTCCTTGTTTAAAACCTTGTTTGATCTCGATGAACAAGATATTAAGATATTTTTCATTCTATTAGCAATTGAGCCGGAAGCAATTTTACATGTATATACAGTAGTTAGTAAAGAGATAGGTCTCCAGTTTTTTTAAAAAAGTTGTCTGGGCTTATCACCTTTCGGTATACAGTTAATAATACAATGTCTTTGTGTGATACTTAAAGTATTGTTTTCATAAGCATAGTTAATGGACCTTACAACAAAAATTCCAAATGATTTCCAAAAAACTTTAAAAAAAACTCTGATGTAAAGCCATCCGACTTGGCGATTTATTTCGATTTCATATTATGGAGTGTTTCTGAAGCTTCCTTTCATATTAATTTACCTTCTGTATCTTTTGAAAGTTTAACAATATTTGGTAAGTTTAATTCATCATCAAGATTGATGTCATTTATAGAATTATCTATATTTCTGTATAAGTATTTATCATATTTTTTTTGCTTCATTCAGTATATCGGCTTGCTTATAAATAATGCTACTATTTTCTGTTTCTTATATCTTCTATTTCCTTATTTTTTCTTCTAAAGTTTCAACATTGTCAGCAGTAGTATGTATTGTTTCTTCAAGGTGTTTTATTTCTTCTACAAGTTTTTCTTCTTTTAGTTTTGTTAGTTTCTTTTTGTATGAAGAGTAGGAAATACATTTTCCTCTTATTTCCATGAGAAGGGTTTCCAAAAACAATTGGTCATTTATTGTAAAAGTTAATTCTTCATTGTTGACTCGTTGCAAGTTTTAAATATTAAATATACAGGTACAGTATACAGTTTTTTTTAACATTCTTAATGACTTCAATTATGGTATAAAGAAATTTCTCATCACTAAGAAGGGAATTATTAAATTTCCAAAGACCTTTACCTTTCTTAAAATCGCTAAAAGCTAAAGATAAACTAATCATGGAATGATCATACCTATAACTTGTTTCAATTGTACATCCTATTGCACTTGGCAATAGACTTTCGGAGATCAGAAAGAAATCAAGCTGTTTTGTTTTAGTGGATTTTTTTCCTTCATGTATACCTTTGAGTGTCTGAATGAAACTGTCTGTATACATGCATATCAATATAACCACCTTCTTCCATAAAATCAAGAACCTTTTGCCTTGCATTTGGATTATTTATATGTTTGTAATTATAATAATCCTGTCTTGGTTCAAAACAAGGTTGAAATCACCACACTTAATGACACTTTCACAATTAAAATCATCTATACAAGTTTGTATATTTTCAGAGAAGGCCGGGTTATCATTATTGGGGCCGTAAATATTACAAAGAAGCAATTTTTTTTTCATCAGTTTTGAATTCTAAAAAAAGATAATTTTCATCAGCATCCCCTTTTTGTTTTAAAATTTGTATATCAAAGTTATTATTAACGAGAATAACTACACCCCTCGAATTTGAGGAGAATGAGCTAAAATAACAATCAAAACCCCATAAATTCTGAACATTATTCTCAGAGTTGGGTGTAAAATGTGTGGGGTGTAAAATGTGTGTCTTGTAAACAGTATATATTATTATTTAGTCCTTTTAAAAAGTTAAAAACACCTTGACGTTTGTTGATATCTCCTAAACCCTGACAGTTAACAGATAAAATTTTTAGGTTCATCGATCTTTACTTGAAAATTAATGAAATATAAGAGAAAACGAACAGTATTCGAGTTCAAATGACCATTAAACATTACAAAATAGGAGCAGAGCAAACAAGGGCCTCTAAGACATCAGAGGTGGGATCAGGTGCCATGGAGGAGTGAGCATCCCCTGCCGACCGGTCACACCCGCCATGTGCTCCTTGTCATGATCAGGAAATAACGGAAAAAAACATCTGATTACCTTTGAAAGCGTAGAGCTATTGCACTTCGAAGTGATATAAGAAGAAAAGAAAGAAAGAGGAAAGCAGAAATAAGGAGTAAGACAAGAGAAACACATTTAAAGTTCAAAAATGGTTGGGTAAGACCCTAAAGCCTTTCACAAAACTGCGTTGTTGTAACCTAACCAGCAAACCCGTTGGCAGTCGATACCGGAACAGTCTCTACGAATAGTAGTACAAAGAGTCCTGAACGTGGAAGATAAATCCGGAATATTTTTTCGTTCATTTTTCACTTTCTTCTATCTTTTCATCGATATCATCTAGAATCTCAAATCTAACTTCCTGTTTATTGCTCTTTATTTCACCATAGACACTACAGCTGAAGCACCATGCGTTACTAATCCTCTGATGTTTTTTTTCAGGCGTACGGTTAGTATAACATCAGATTAGAAGTTGATTTTATATATCGTCGGAGGCCCTAAATTCGTTATGGTCCTAGAGTCGTGTCCCTTTTATTTTCCTCGCGTATCTCGCGAGATTTTGTCTGCGGTTGCGCACACCGTGAGAAAAATTTTACTACGATCGATTACGTCATATTTAGAACTGCAGACGACAATGAGGTCAAAACAGGTAAAAAAAAAATTAGTATGAAACAAAATTTTAGCTGATTTACTGTCAAATCCATTATTACCAAATAAGTATGACAATATAGTCCATTTTTTTAAAAATTACGACATATATTGACTGTGTCAGTGCTACTGTACGCTTTGTTTACATTATATCAATTGAAGTCACATGACTACATTGGAATTTGATAGGCCAAACAAAGTTAATTTTTCCATTCAAGTTGTATTGTTCCTTAGACATTTTTTTTCGACGATGGATTTGTTTGTTTGCTATTGTAGAAAAGTCCCAAGCCTCACAAAAGAAATTATAGACTTTATTCTCCAACACAAATGACAAATGCATATCAAATGGTTAAAGAAAAGAAAATGTCAGTTAGAAAAGCTTCAAAAATTTTTCGGGTGCCCGATACAACACTTAGGGACAGGGTTCTGCTAAAAGTTGACCCAGAAACTGCTGTTTTTGGTAAAACTCAAGTTCTAGACAACCTTGAAGAGGCCAATCTAGTCAATCATTTTAAAACAATGGCATCCTTTGGTTATGGGTATACCAGACAGGAATGCATAAATATTGCAACAGATTACGCAATTTTTGTGGGTGAGAGGACCCCTGACAAGCCATTTTCTATGAAGTGGATGAGAGGTTTTTTAAAGCGATGGCCTGAACTTAAAGTTTTGAAGCCACGAGGGTTAGAGCACGTAAGAGCAAAGATGGCTTCAAGTGAAACTGTGTCCAAATACTTTGAAAATCTTTGTAACACTCTCTCTAAACATGATCTGTATGGAAAGCCTCATCTCATTTTCAATGTTGACGAAAAGGGTATTTCTGTTGACCACAAACCACCAGCCGTGGTCGGAGATTCTGCTTACTGTCCCCAGTCAGTAACATCAGGTCGTGGAAAGACCATCACTATTCTTGGTGGAGGCAGTGCAAGTGGTGTCTCTATACCACCTTTTTTCGTCTTTCCTGGCAAACGGATGATGCCAGAGCTGTTGAGTGGAGCATCCCCTGGGGCTAGTAGCACAGTAAGCGAAACTGGGTGGTCAAACAGTCTAATCTTCCGACACTATCTGGAACACCACTTCCTGAAGTTTGTTCCACGAGATGAAGGACAGATCTTACTCCTTTTGGATGGACACAAGTCCCATGTGTCAGTGGAACTGGTAGAGTGGGCAAGTCAGAAGGGGATAATCATCTTTATTCTTCCAGCCCATACAAGCCATGTCTTGCAGCCAATGGATGTTGCCTGCTACGGACCATTTCAAAACATTTATAATAATCAGTGTCACAAGTTAATAAGGGAAACAACAGCAACAATTACCAGGTATAACATTTGTGAAGTCGCATGCAAGGCATATACAAAGGCACTGTCTCCTGAAAACATCCAGTCAGGGTTTCGTCGCACTGGCATTTACCCCCTTTGCAAAGATGCGGTTCCTTCGAGGTATTTGGTACCAGCAGAAGTTTTCAAGGGCCTGGCCACTGAAATTAGAAATGAAAGCCAAGAGAATGAAAGAGGATTTGAGCAAAAAAAGGAAGAAAATGTAGAAAATTATGTGGTAAAGTTACAACAGAAAGAGAACCATCTGAAGGAAAAAAAGAGTGCTGGAGAAATGAAAGTGAGGAAAACAATGAGCAAGATTGTTTCAGGGAGAGAAATCTCAGAAAGCGTGTATCAGCGAATGAAAGATCATGCAAATAGTCAAAGGAAACAAGAGAAAGACATAGGGAGTAAGAAGCATCAGAGGACAAGTTTAAAGAAAAATGCACATCTTGATGACATACCTGGCCCATCAACAATGAATCTGACTGTCTCAAGGGATCTCCGAAACAGTTCAGACTCTGACAGTGATGTTGAGATGGATCCTTCTAAACTTTGCTGCATTTGCAAGAAGTTCCAGCCAGATGAGCTGAAGAGATGCATTTCCCTTGTATTTGTGAAGTGGGCGCAATGTGACAAGTGCAGTCATTGGATTCACTTGATTTATTGTTCTCCAATACGTGTTGTGCGAAGGAATGATCAATTCTTTTGCCCACATTGTAATGCAGAGTAACATATTACTACTGTTGCTGCTGTTTATTGAATTTGACAGTGTTAAATTCAACTTAGTTATATAAGTTTTTAATTGTTAAACTGAAAAAAATTAATTCATTGTAAAGATTGTAATAATTTGTCTTTAAAAATGTTGACACACAGTTAACTTTCAGTTAAAAAATGAAAAACGCATATATTCATTCTCTTGGCCTTTTTACTTCAATTTCCGCTGACGTCACGACCCTAGGACCTGCTTTTCAAAATGTCGCCGGGTAAACATCGGTAACTTAAACGAGATGAAGACAATCAATAAGGCGTGATTTTTTTATTTGACCAGTTTATTGCAAAGAAAAGAACATGTTTAATTAAGGTATGATTTACGAAATGAAACAGCATATCAAATTTATTTACAAACAGTCCCGATCAAATAAGGGTAACGACTCATGGACCTCCGAGGATAAAGTGTTGCAGCAAGGCCTGTTGGAAGATGTTTAAATACACCTGTTGCTGCTGACCCAGAAGACGGGTGAACAAGGCGTGCAGAATGCATATAGCTTCAGATATAAAAAATCATATTAATTTGTGAATTAAGTATTTAACATAAAGTTCTCATGAAATTATGATCAACAAAATTTTCTGGGGAAAAAGATCTTGGAAAAAATTATTCTTTTATTAAAAAAATAAAATGATATTCGTGGGATTCGAACCCCCTAACAATAAAAATCACATTGTTTGAGACTAACACGCTAACCACTAAGCTACACAGCTCCTAATGAAAAGTGGCATTTAAATCATATTTGTGATATGACCCTTGACTTAATGGATTTCTCAGAAAGATGTGAATGCTTTGTCATAAAAGTATAGTGGGTCTTTGCTTCATGTTTTGTAAACCAAAAATGTACATTTTTCATGCAAACTTTTAGGATTAACTTTCAAAACAATGGAGCGAAGAACCACTCATATCGAAAAATTTTGTTAAAGAACCAGAAATTGATCCTTTTGTCCTTTTTAGCGTGTGTATGCTATTTCGTAGGCAAATAATTTCAGTCTTTGCGAGATTTTTGTAAATTGTAGAGATTTTACATGAAGTATAGTTTAATGTTAGATGAAATTTCAAAGAAAATTTTGATATACACGTAATTGAGATTTTTTTTTCACTTCATGTTTGTCGCACTATAGGCACTTCGCCCGCCTTGTTCACCCATCTTCGTTGAAAATTCTATCTGAGCGGTGCAAGTTGATGTTTTTATGTTCTGATAGAAACTATGACCTGACCCCATTGTCAAATATTTACATTTTTCAAAAAAAAAATCTTGTTTTAATCTCAGTCCTCATTGTTTGGCACTCATTCAGATTAAAAATGATAAATTCACGAAAAAGTGATTTAAATAATAATTACCAGTAACGTGTTTGTTCTCAGATGTTGTAGATTCTTATTACCCTTATTTCTATGCAAAAATACTGAAGTGCTCTAAACCCAAGAGAAGGTCTTATCACAAGGATTACACATTACACAAGTATGAAAGCCCTAGCACAAACCATTCAACAGTTATTACCAAGGTAAAAGTTAGGTAAAATTTGGAAAAAAATGGTCAAACTCCAAGGTCAATATGTTAAATATATAAACAAAGAAAGGTCTTGCCTCAAGAAATACACATGTGAAATATGAAAGTCATAGCTCCAACCAATCAAAAGTTATGGGCAAGGTTAAGGTTTTTGCGGACATACAGACAGAGCAAAATCTATATGCCCCCGAATCTTCAATTATGAGGGCATTATAAACAAACCAATAACCAAAAATTTAAAATAAATGAACTTGCTTGGACCTACAGTATCTCTTGGAATAGCAGAGATCATGGAACAAGAAAGTAAGACTTTGTTTGTATTAGGGAAGATTTAGGGAATAGAGTAAAGCTTTTAACTCTAGGATATCAGAAATGTTTTGACGAATAAGATATCACATTCTAGCAGTCCAAGAAATGATAAAGCAGCATTAACCCTGTAACCAAACCTTATTCCTTGCCGAGTGTATTGCATTTAGAGTTGTAGAAATATAGTCTTCTATTAAAGCAGCATCAACCCTGTAACCAAACCTTATTCCTTGCCGAGTGTATTACATGTAGAATTGTAGAAATATAGTCTTCTATTAAAGCAGCATCAATCCTGTAACCAAACCTTATTAATTGCCAAGTGTATTACATGTAGAATTGTAGAAATATAGTCTTCTATTAAAGCAACATCAACCCTGTAACCCAACCTTATTCCTTGCCGAGTGTATTACATGTAGAATTGTAGAATATATAGTCTTCTATTAAACAAAATAAAATACAATGACATCCTCTAATGCAAAACAATACATTATTTCAATTAAAACAAATTCCTAAACTAGTATTAAATTATTATTTGACAAAAACAGTGATTACGTCAGTCAAACAATTGGGAAAAAAATCTTGGTGAAAAATCTATTGTTCTCTTTACAATGGTTGTGATATATAAATCAGTCAAAGAACTCATAAATGGAAAAAAAATAGTAAAACAATATTTGATATTCTAATCGGAAACATGAAAATGAAATAATTAACACTAACTGTAAGTAGAGAAGACCCACGGAGACCAATATTATATATTACTTTTCTCTCCTACATAGAATGAACTCATTCATAAAGTATATCTGAAGGAAAAACTGTAAGCTACCATTCATGAAATAAATATTAAATTTTTAAAGCAATGAATGTTTCATTCATTCATTCACTGGAAGCAAAAAAATTACAAAAAATGGTAATTTTGAATTCCGTAAAAATATTTTTAAAATTGAAATTTAGACTCTTTAGATAAAGGGTACGATAGTTAATTAACTCGACGATTTCGATTTCTTGTTTGGCTATTATACCAAGTTAGCAAAAATTTTCAAGATTAAAGCACAGTCCACGAGATATTCTCTGGTAAGATTTGTTTTTTTCTTTAAAAAAAAGCAGTCTTAGTGAGTTACTGTATATCATTATTTATAGCGAATTACTAACAAAAATGAACGAATTTAGCAAAAGAAACTACGCATGTTGTAACTGTTATCAAGATTCGAAATTTCACTTGAATAAATATAATTTTTTTCCTGTCATTTTTATGCCCCCGCCAAATAGTTTTACCCCTTTCCTTCCGTCATTCTGTTAGTATTTTCGTATCTGTGGACTTTCAAATATTTACAAATTGCTTGTCAGCAGGGACATTCCTCTAATACTGACAAATGTATATAGTTTCTATCTGGCTTTACATGTAATACTTTAAATATTTTATAAATATCAATCAAATCATCTACTAAATCAAACTATTGGGCATAATTTTAAAGTGGTTGTGAACACTCCTCTTTTCAACCTTGCCTTTCTCCTTTACTTGGACACTTGTATCGCACCAAGATATCCTCCTTTACTTAGACTCTTGTATCGCACCAAGATATCCTCCTTTACTTAAACTCTTGTATCACACCAATATATCCTTCTTTACTTAGACTCTTGTATCGCACCAATATATCCTTCTTTACTTAGACTCTTGTATCGCACCAAGATATCCTCCTTTACTTAGACTCTTGTATCGCACCAAGATATCCTCCTTTACTTAGACTCTTGTATCACACCAATATATCCTCCTTTACTTAGACTCTTGTATCGCACCAATATATCCTTCTTTACTTAGACTCTTGTATCGCACCAAGATATCCTCCTTTACTTAGACTCTTGTATCGCACCAAGATATCCTCCTTTACTTAGACTCTTGTATCGCACCAATATATCCTTCTTTACTTAGACTCTTGTATCGCACCAAGATACCCTCTTTTACTTAGACACTTGAATCGCACCAAGATACCCTCCTTTACTTAGACTCTTGTATCGCACCAAGATATCCTCCTTTACTTAGACTCTTGTATCACACCAAGATATCCTCCTTTACTTAGACTCTTGTATCGCACCAAGATATCCTCCTTTACTTAGACTCTTGTATCGCACCAAGATATCCTCCTTTACTTAGACTCTTGTATTGCACCAATATATCCTCCTTTACTTAGACTCTTCTATCGCACTCAAAGATATCCTCCTTTATTTAGACATTTCTATCGCAATTGAAGATATCCTTCTTTACTTGTACATCCTATGCTATCCTCCTTTACTTAGATATTTTGTATTGTATTTTAAATATCCTCCTCTACTTTGACACATAAAGCATTTTAATATTGTCCTTTATCTAGACATCTGAATCGCACTATGATATCTTCCTTTGCTTGAATGTAACTATTTGAATCGCAATATGATTTCCTATTTAACTAGACATTTGTATCGCACTCTATATGATATGCTTCTTTACCCCACCTCTGTTGATTTTTTGATGAAATCCTGGCTTACGATTGGTTGAAGTCTGTCACGTGAGGGGGGTGTATTACTTATACCTAGTCGCTTGAAAATCAATACATGGTCGATACGGAGTTATCGTTCTTTTGTAACGTTCGAACAACTCGAGTTCACGCGATTTACCGAGTGTCTGTTGACAATGTTACAGTTAACTAATGTAAGTAACGAAGATGGAACCTTTTTCTCCCTTTACTGAAAATCTTCAAAACTGTCAGTACGTTATTACAGCACGAAACACTCGCAAAACAACATTACGTCACACAACGTGACGTCATAATAGGCATTGTATGAGTGATGAAACATATATATAGTGAGAAAAACAATTTTACAAACCACAGACAATGCATAAATATTTTATCAGTGGGGTAAATTCGTTACATAGTTTTTTAGTGACAGGGTACGGGATGATACCTGGTTAGTAAATTCCATACCTGGCTCGCCTCGCCAGGTATGAAATTTACTAACCAGGTATCATCCCGTACCCTGTCACTAAAAAACTATGTAACTAATATTACTTAGACACCTGTATTGCACTATATGATATATTCTTTTTCTTAACCATTTGTATCGCACTTTATGATATCCCTATTGTAGTTATATCTGGCTTTACTTACACACTTGT